TGAAAATGAAGGATATAAAAGCATGATATGTCCACTTTAAAGTAGATGGACCACACCAGAAACTCATTTCACAAAAGTCAGATTTCTAAAATCAGGATATATCAGCTGTAAGCTGAGRTTGAACAAGCCTTCAACTTGTCAACTGCTGTAATCTGTTGCTCTAACACCATGCTCAYTCAAGGCGGCTCATTCAACCCAGCTGTAAATTTAGGATTAATGAACATTCACGGTTTGCTTACTCTAGACCCATCAGGTGGATCACAGATTTCCTGATCAGGCATGCGCAGTAAGACACGTGAGTCTCACCTCTTCCCCTTTAATGGATAATAATGATTCATACGAAAAGTTGGAGCGAAACACCGACTGAATGCTGAAATAATTTCAAAAGTAAAAACTTTTTGCCACTGAATCTGTTTGTAAGTTATCTGAAATTAACATGAATTATTGCGGCTGTACATTTATGAAATGACGATACAGATCAACAAGGGGTGTAATGAAGATGGACTCCCACCGGACTGTGTGTGTGTGTGTGTGTGTGTGTGTGTAGGAGGGGTCCAGTGGGACGGGGAGATCTCGCAGAACTGAGCGCTGAAGGGAGAGGGGGGAGCGCGAGTTCGGCTCCAGTGTGCGCGTGTGTTGGGGGGGATCAGGGGCGAGGTGCTGCAGCAGGCACAAAGAAGCTGAGGTTGAGGGMTTTTTTTTCAACAGATAACCTGTGTAGATATACCTAAGCTTCCTAAGCTTGTTTGTCTATTTGCTAAGCTTGCTAACTGTTCCACCCTCTGACTGCTGCAGGGGCGTGTCTTAGAGAGAGGTTTATATATCAGGACACAYCRGCTGTGACGAAACTGTGCAGAAGCACGTCACAGCGGAGAGCCGTTAACCAATATGCAAATTAGCCTGCAGTACCACTGCTCCACCCATATGCGCAGCAAAAAGACGTTTTTAGACCAAATATTACAGATTTGAACAAATACACACAAAAACATCAAAATCAGCACAGAAACAAGTACTATATAACATTTTAGACACATTCTAGACAGTTTATCAGCTAAAAAAAGTTAATTTTGGGGTAAGTTACTCATTAAAATCACGACCATGATTTTAATTAAGAGCAATCTGTAGGTTTGTGAGGCCACAGGTTATTAAAATAGTTCAGTCATCAAAATACACACAGAAAACACTCAAAAGAGTTGTAGTTTTATTTTTGGCCAGTTAAAACTAACTGACTTTTATTAAGAGGATAATATTGAATGGTTAATATGTGATCAAACAAGAAATGAGCTCTCAGTATAACACAATTAATCTTCTACTTTTCAAGCAGTTGAACTAATTAAGCAGTTTGTCTAACAGTTTTAACAGAGAGAGAGACTGAGAGACTAATCTTAGCTAAGGTTGTGATCTTTCATTTATGTATTTTAAAGCTGTGAGCCTGCGAGGCAAAGATGAGCACGTCAGCCAGTTTTACCATGTCATGGCCAATCCAAATGAGGTAGGCTGACAAGACGCCAGCTAAGATGTTTGCCTGAATGGACAGCAGACACCGTGGCCTTCTTTGTCGGTCGTAGACCTTTTGTGGACCCGGTGCAGTCAGCAGCGTGGCAGTATGGCTCAGAACCGGGCTCGTCAGGAGCTTTGGAAAAACTCACAGCAGCAGGGTAGTTGCAGGGTGGCTCGCCAGTTGGTTTGAGCTCAGGGGCTGCTCAAACAAAAGTTGTACTCCAATCAAAAGGAATATTTCCTTGGAAGTTCAAAAAGAAAAAGTTGATGCGACAAAAAGAAAGAAGCTGGAAAATGGCTGTTTTCCCAGCACAGAATGCAAGAAGCTGGAGGCCTTCACGGTGCCTTAATCTAACGCAGTGTTTCCCAAAGTTGGGGTCGGGACCCAAAGTGGGGTCCTGAAACATCAAGGTGGGGTCCTGAACAGATTTTCTGAATTAATTACATTTTTGCCTAAGTTGTTACAAAGGAGTGAGGTTAGTGTATTTAAAATGGATAAATGTAGTATAATAAATATTGTTAGTATGCCCATGTTTAGTTGACCTGATACAAATGTTTATCATCCAAACATAGTTGGGTACATGTCTCTGCTACTGTTATTTTGTGGGTCAAAAGCTGAAAAGTTTGGGAACCACTGCACTTTGGTTCCCAAAGTTGGGCTTGAACCCAATTATGGGTCATGAAGCACCTTGGATAATCTCCAGAAATCAATTTAAAGGGTGATAAAATCATTGCTGATGTGATATTTTCCCTATAATTATTACAAAAACACAAAATAAGTATAAATAAGTATTTATATTTGTGTACAAGCTGTTTAGATTGTCAAAAAGCCTGTGTTTTTTAGGGTTATTAAAGAAGTTCGTGTACTCAGACCAGTAATATTTGGGGTCACAAGTTTTTGCCATGAATATTTTGTGGGTCAGAAGATAAAAAGTTTGGGAACCACTGATCTAGTGAGGCAAAAACAACAGACTGACGAATACTGTAATAGAGCAGAGTTTTTATAGACTGAGCACAGCGAGTTACTGTTCTCAGGACAGAGGAGAAAAGAATGTGGGAGTGAATTGCAGGTGTGTAAGTTTCTCGTGACAATGTGTGTGTGATGTCTCTGTATGGAAACCCAAATCAAAACAGAAAAAGTAACACCCAAATATCTTATGAGCAGGAGTAACTAAACTCTGAAAACAGCATATTAATTTCTAATTAACTAATGGTTAATTATGAACATTGACTAAACAGACGATTAAAAACGAATGAGTAATGCTCATCAAAATAGACGAAATAAAAGTATAAAAATATAAGCATTGACTAAGACATGTATTTTGTTATCATTAACTCACAAAAGTCTAAGCATATTCAAAGACAACAAATGCAAAGTTATTATAAGCTAAATTAGAGAGCCCTTAAAAATAAAGACAAAATGTCAAACATATTAAAGGGTTTAAACATTGGAATTATACCTAGAGAAAAAACAGCAACAGAAGGTTTGTTTTATWTTTTTGTTTTTATCAACAAACAGCAAATTTCTATGAGAATACAAACCATGTTTCTTTCCCAGAGGAAAGGAAAGCTTTTCATTTTTTACAGCTCTCAGCAGAGCTGAAATTATTCAGTCTGGGGAAAGGAGAGGTTTGACCCCGGGTGGTCAAAGGTCAACCAGTGGCGAGGTGAGTTGAGGGGTTTCCCTACATCTGCTAAAAAATAAAATGAATATACTTTCTCTGTAGTATTTTAATGCAAAGTAAAATAAATAATAAATTTAATAATTGTATGAAACACTGATTTCTAATCAGACACTGCAAAAATTAGCTATCTTAAAATAAGTTTAAAATGCTAGATTATACTCTGAATTTTTTCAAATTAATGATAATTAATAATCCACAGTTTGGCAATTGCACTTGGTAAGAAATAAAGTAAACTTTTCATGTTAACGATCAAAAATCCAACATATTCTGATCTTGCTTAGTGTATCGGTCTAAAAACAAGATCAAAAATACATTTTAGCTGATATAAGACTGTAAAACTTGATCAGATGAACAGTTTTTGCAGTAAAGTGACCGTCTACTGCTTAAGCTTCACTTTAATCCTGATTTCAGAGCACTTTTTACCATGGAAACGTAAATGCCTCCCCTCCCATGCAACTGATTTAAGGCTTAACTAATTCAGGTTTACACCAAAATCCCGGCTTAATCACTTATCCTAGATTCATGCAATAGTCTCCTGGTGCCACTCTTATCAACCAAGAACAAGAACGTGAGGCTGCAYTTCACCCAGGCTCACCAAATTGGGACAATAAGAAAATGGAAAAATATTGACAAGTCTGAGTCTGGATTCCTTGGACTACAATGATATTCACAGTCACCAGATCTCAATCCAACTTGACACCTTTCGGATGTAGTGGAATGGGAGACTCTTGTCATAAATGTGTAACTGACAGATCTGCAGCAAAAACATGATGCTATCATATCAATATTAGGGCTGGGTGATACGGCTGAAAAATGTATTACAATAGAAGCTATCGATTGATATCAGTAATTATTGATTCGTGTTTAGTTTTACATATTTGAAATAAAGACCAGGAGAAAAACGGTGTAGTAATATGAAAAACTGGTGATGTGACCATTCCTCTTTTATCCACAATTTCCTCTCAAGCTATTGGACTCATTTTCTCCTTTCACTCCATGTTCTTCTCCACGTTTTTCTTTTTTTTTTTTTTTTTGCCAACTTTTGAGCAGTTATGAGGCACAGTAGCAAAATTGCTACTGCACGTTACTCAACAGGTTGTTGCTAGCTTACCAAAGAGGYAGTGCGTTAGTTGATGTCATGCCACCAACCTTGCTTAGCAGGGCCATAAGAGGTTGAGCTGCAAAAGCTATTTTTGCCTACATGCCCCAGAGGGCCGTGAGGTTCTGGTTTCTAGTTCAGTAAAATTGTCATCATTCTATTGGATGTATTTTCTATTGATATTGATGATGTGTCTATCATGATATATATTGTTATCGACTTGTTGAATCTCACATGAATATTTAAGGCAGCTCTGAAGGCAAAATGGCGTCAAACTCAGTACTAGCAAGTTGTACCTAATAAAGTGGCCAGTGAGTATAAAATATTTTTATACTATATTAAATAAATGTTTTGTTTGTTTAATGCCCTGTCACACTATCGTGTTTTAGACAACTTATGTCAACTTATAAAAATGTTATTACACTCAGAAGGTGTCTACGTTGAAGATGCAAAAAAATTATCTACTGAAGCTACTTTTGAGTATACACTTTACATAGTGTAGTGCTAATAATCAAATTAAATATGTAACTTCTATYAGTAACTTGGTCATAACATTTTTGTAAGTTGGCATACGTTGTGTACATAATCATAGTGTGACAGTGCCTTTAGCAATGAAATAATTGGATTCGTCTTGGTGAACTCTTAGATACAAGGATTTGTCTGTTTGTATGGTTCATTTGTAAAATAATTATATTAAAAATATTTTTCATGCGTAGGTTGGTGGTACAAAGACAGGAGTGGTGCGTTTTCTTGGCGAGACTGACTTTGCCAAAGGAGAGTGGTGCGGTGTGGAACTGGATGAACCTTTGGGCAAGAATGATGGCGCTGTAGCTGGGACCAGGTGATACAAAATTGTTTTAGGCAGATTAATTTTTTTATCGAATAGTACTGTATTTGCAATGTATATAGTACATTCCCAATACAGGAACAGTTGCAGCTTTGTATAAAATGTAYGTAACAACAGAAGACAGTCATTTGTAAATTGCAATAAATACATATTCACAGTGTATCACAGTAAACATAAAAAACTACTAAACTAAAAATTGTACAATTAAAAAGGTAATATTGAATTTTAAGTAGCAGCACATTTCAAAAATAATAGGACAGGGGCAACAGAAGGCTGGGTATTCTTTTGCAACTAATAAGATTAATTGACAACAGGTCAGTAAGAGGGGACTAGGTATTAAAAAGACATTTTACAGGCTCAATCGCTCAGAGGTAAAGAGGCAGATATGCACWAATCTGCAAAGAACTACGTCTAAATATAGTGGGACAATTTCAGAATAATGATACTCAATGAAAAATTGTAAAGATTTGGGATGAACAGATGATTAACAGGCTTCTGCAGAATTTGAAGATATAATTAAARCACTGAATCAGGTGTGTTGGAGCAGAGAAACAAGGAAAACCTGCAGGATAGCAGTTCTCCAGGACCTGAGTTTGACATCCCTGCCATACCTGAACACCACCTGTAAACACTGTTGTCTTCTCTGAACCAGACTGTGCCAAAGTGGAAAACTGTTCTGTGG